ATGATGGTGTCATTAAAGACGGTAAATCAAATATCTCTATCTGGTAAATCATTTGATGGTTGTATTGATCGATTGAACAATGTTCTTAAGAGGTGTACCAAGACAAACATAATGTTAAATTGGAAAAAATGTCATTTTATGATCACTGAAGGTATTGTTCTTGGCTACAAATTCCCTGCTAAAGGTATAGAGGTCAATCAAGCAAAAATTGAGGTGAAAGAAAAACTTCCACCAACGGTAAATGTTAAAGGAGTAAGGAGTTTTCTAGGTCATGCAGGGTTTTACAGGAGATTTATTAAAGACTTTTCAAAAATTTCAAAACCATTGTGTAACCTGCTGGTTAAAGAAAACGAATTTAACTTTGATAAAAATTGCCTACACTCTTTTTCTGTAATAAAACATAAATTAATAACAGCTTCAGTCATTGTATCACTAAATTGGGAGCTTCTTTTTGAAATTATGTGTGATGCTAGTGATTATGTTGTTGGCACAATACCTAGTCAAAGGCACGCAAAATTTTTCCATGCAATTTACTATGTCAGGAAAGTTTAAATGAAAATCAAATTAATTACACCACAACTGAAAAAGAATTGTTAGCACTAATATTTTCTTTGGAAAAATTTTATCCTCATTTAATTGGTTCCAAAGTTATTATTTTTATAGATCATGCATCTTTGAAGTATTTGTTCAACAAAAGTAACTACAAACCAAGATTTCTACGAAGAGTGTTGCTATTGCAAGAATTTGATATGGAAATTAAGGATAAAAAAGGAGTATAAAATATGATGGCAGATCACCTTTCGAGATTAGAAAATGAGGAGGTAACAAAAAATAAGCACAAATAACACAGACATTTTCGGATGAGCAGTTAATGGCGATTAGTGAAAGACCCTAGTTTGCAGACATGGAAAATTACAAGGAGAAAAATATTGTACCAGGAGAGTACACTGGCCAAAAAGTAAACTCTTCTATAAAGAATTTTTTTATCTTTGGGATGAACCATATCTGTTTAAGAGAATTCTTGATGGTTTACTCTGCAGGTGTGTTTAAGGTAAGAAAGAAGACAACATTATGTGGCACTATCATAGTTAAACATATGGAGAACACCATAATGGTGAGAGAACGAAGCCAAAAATACTACAAAGTGGGCCTTGGTGGCCTACCTAATTTATTGACTGTAAGTTATATGTGTTTACATGTCCCGAATGCAATAGGACTGGTAACATCTCAAAACGAAACGAGATTCCTTTGAACATCATGCTTGAGGTAGAACCATTGATTGTTGGGGAATTGATTTCATAAGTATATTTCCCCAATCAAATACATGTCTTTATACTATTGTATGTGTTGATTATGTTACCGAATGGGTGGAAGCAATTGCTTGCAGTGTTAATGACTCCCAAAATGTTACTAATTTTTTTGAAAAAGATCATTTTCCCCAGGTTTGGTGTACCTAGAGTCTTAATCAGTGATGGCGAAACACATTTTTAAAACAAATACTTGGAAAAACTGTTAGAAAAAATAATGTGAAACATAAGTGTCACAACACGAAAAGTACCCAAGCGCATCGCACACTCGATGATACAACAGATTTGTCACCGAACTTTATTTATTCCAGAAGGAAAGGGTAAATATCGATAAAACCCAAGGGAAAGAGAAATTGGTAAGGGAGTCGATTATGCGAGGAGAATGTATTAACATCTCTCACATCCGTCGTATTCGATGGGAACCATTTTGATTGTTTTTTCATGGATGAGTGTTACTATTTAAAGGTTACTTGCGAAAGGGAATTTTTTTAATAATTAGAGTGCTCGCGGAGGATTGGGGCCCCCGTGCCTACGTATTCTCATAGTGCAATAATGAAACCAGAGCTCTATAGTTAGGAGTAGAAAATAAGTGTGTGTTAGTTATTTTTAGGGAACAATTATAATCACATCCTAGAAGTGTGTGGGCGTTAGCTGACTTGATCCTAGTTTGGATGCTTCGAGCTTTTAGTTTGACTGCTACGAAACGGATTATAAAAGTTCTTTTATGAAAAGAAAGATTTTTTTTTTTGCAAAAAGGTATAAGTGTAAAAAAAAAAAAAGAGTTGATTGGATTAGAAAAGAAAGAGCTTGAATTGAAAGTGTTATTGTGGTGTGGTGAAAGTATTGTTTGGACCAGGATTGTGTTATTTGGATCCATAGAGTATGTGTCTCTGAACTAAATATGTGTGGCTTTAACCAATAGATGGCGTGGCTGATGTAAAACTATAGGATTTTGTCTAAATCCGAGGACCAAGACCTATAAAAAGGTTTGGCATAAGCACAAAGCTTATATGGGAGATATGATATTGCCTAAGCACGAAGCTCATAAGTCATGAAGGATTTCCCTGAGCATGAAGCTCATAGGGCATGCATGAGTAGCCAGAGCACAAAGCTCTATAGCGCAAAATAGAAGGAAAAATATTTCCTGAGCACGGAGCTCATAAGGCAGTGCATCAAGGTTGTCGGAGCACGAAGCTCTTATGGATAAATAAAAGAAAAAGGATTTGCCTGAGCATGAAGCTTTGTGCTCTAGGGTGGAAGCCTTGGTTGCTAGGAAAAGACTAGGTCTTTTTGAAATGAAAATGAAATAGTCAGTCTCTTTTGAGGTTACGATGTCACCCTTACGGTCGTGCTAGCAAGAGCAGAGCGAGGTCAACAATTTCTTGTGTCTGCAGTAATCATTAGTTTGCGTCGAAGACTCAATATTAGATATGAGTTGAGTGGAAATGTGGAAACGATTGAGGATAATTCTCACAAACAACACCAAATGATCTGATCCTTTTCTCTCGTGTGTTATTAATGGTGTTGTTGACAAACTTTGGCACAACACACCTTCGTAATATGCTCGGTGGTAGGGAATATACTTACAAACACTTCAATAATCAAGTTAGTTATGCCTATTACCTAATATATTCGACACAAGTAATAAAAATAAGATTTCATAATCAAATTTGACTATGACAGGAGTTTAAGGTTTCACTCATAGTCAAATGGTTATTTTCGACCAGAAGAGCACTTGACCTTTTTTTTTATGATCATGTCATGTTGAAGGAGGTTTGGAAAAGATGGTTGAAAGGTCCACTAAAAATCCTGGTCGAGTTAAAGGACTTAGTAAGATTTGGGGTTTCTTTTCCAATTAACGTGACATAATGTTTTATCGAAGAGAATATGGATAAGATCATACAATTATTCATGAAAAATGTGGAAGCCTGTAAAAAACGAGAGATGCATGAAGATGAAAACGTCTCAAGCTTTGCTAAGTCGACCGCTGTAGAAAATTATATTATAACTAGTATATAAGCAGTGCTTGTTTATATTTTTAGAGGTCTACAATTTTACACATTATACACTCATAGTATCCAACTGTGAAAGTGAAAGACGAGTTTTCAGTGTATGTATTTGTGTTCCATTTATTAAAGTTAATTTCTCTCTTTAACTTATGTTTTTTATCCATTTATTTTACAGCATTACTTTTCTATTCAATGTTCTTGATGTTCATTGTTAAAATCTTTCAAAACATACAAATTTTACACAAATCTATTCTGAAATATTTTTGAATTTAATCTTTTAAATAAAATCAAACTTTTCTTTATTTACTAAATTTTACGGTAAACAATATAATAGTTTGAGTTGTTATCTCAACTTTATAGTAAATTTCTAGAATTTAGAGACCTTATAGTCAGTCTTCTTTTGTTATAATTATATCTTAATCTTTGATTGTATAGTTTCTCTTTCTTTTTTGTTTTGGGTTTGCAGAGGAAGTGACACTATAAATATAACTTGTGGATGATTATATTTTTGAATTCTAATTTTTTAATGAATAAATTCTTAATTTTAATATACCATCAATAATTTTTTTTGGATGAAGATGTCAAGATATAAAAGGCAATGCGAGAAAAGGGTATGCTTTAGACCAATTCAAATAAAAATGAATACATTACATATTGTTAGGCACCCATTTATATCTCTATATTCTATTTATTGTTTCTTTTTGCATCTTTTATTCTTATCCTTTAATTTTCAATTTGATTAGTTTCATAATAACCATTGGGCATTTTCAAACGTAGAAACGTTATTTTTGCCATTCCTAACTTCTTCCTTTTTTCACATTTTTATATTTTTCTATAATTTCTTTATTTTTCTTGTGAATTTACTAATTACTACTTTTTTTTTATATATCAATAACTAATTATAAAAAAAATAATATCATAATTATTATCAATTGAAAACTTCTTTGTGCCTCTCTTCTAAGGTCAAAGAATCATATATATCACAAATCTAGTTTCTAACTTAGTAAGGATAAAATTGTCTTTTTAAAAAAATGCATATATAAAACTATAACCATTAGTTTAAGTTTCTTCACCATTCATTCATTTCTAACCCTTATTAAGAAAATACAGAGAGAAAATAATAGTGAGTTTTTATTCTTAAGCTTCTTCTTTATCTTAATAACATTTGGATAATCAATTCTCAATTCTCAGTTACTATTTGGTAAGTTTATTTTTTTTCTCATTTCTATTATTTTATTCAAAAACAAATTTTGTTTCTTTTACATTGCTTCTTCTTTATATTTCTTCAGTTTTGTTCCTTTCTTTTATAAATACCTGTAAATGCATTATCTCTTTTTAATAACAATATTGGTACAAAAATAAATAACAAAACACCATTAAAAGAAAAACATAATGAACATTGCAAATTCTAAATATTGTGTATATAATAATAAACCTTATTTCCATTCACATCTCTTCTTTATTCATCATTAGTGCAACACTAATTATGATTAAAATTTTTTTTTTTGAGAATGGTGAAGAAGTTTCATTTTTCTCTTTACATTGAAACAATTTTGATCAAATTTATATAGAGCTTTTTTTTCAAAATATTAAGTATAGGTTCGATAATAATGTCAAATTTGCAATGCAGAATCATCATTTTTTGTTGTGTTGATGATATTGAAGGGTTTGGAGTTTTTGATCAATGGCATCAACATGTTTTGTGAACAATAATGCATTCCCTATGAAAGTGGTGACTCCTATCTCTCATTCATATCCTGAACCTCTTGCAAAATATGATGATGTTGTGGCAAATCCAAAGCTATTCATGGTTACTTTGGAGAAGCTTCATGCTTCCATGGGAACCAAGTTCATGTAAGTTCTCTCTTTATTCATTTCTCATATTCATCTTCAATGTTACTTTTGCAATTGTTGGTTCAATTTGTTTTAATGTATCCAATGAAAATATTTCATGTATAACTGAACTTATTTCAGGATTCCCATTATCGGAGGAAAAGAGCTAGATTTGTGTCGACTCTTCGTTGAAGTTACTTCTCGTGGAGGGATTGAGAAGGTAATTTGAGTATTTTTTTCTGATATTTTTGTACAGCTATCAACTGAGTTGAATGAACAGAATTAATAATATTATTTTTTATGATTATACTGTGTATTTATTTTTATAATTTGTGTTGCAGCTTATGAAAGAGAGAAGATGGAAAGAAGTAACAGCAGCTTTCAACTTTCCATCAACAGCCACAAATGCTTCATTTGTTCTCAGAAAATACTATTCTTCATTACTTTATCACTATGAACAAATCTACTATTTTAGATCCAATCGTTGGACATCCGCACCTTCTGGTTTGTATACTTGTATCGAATTATTTATTTATTTCGAACACGAATGATTTGTAAATTAATTAAATCATGCCCTAATTTACAAAAATTGAAATTTCACTTTTTTTTTTTTCAGATTCTTTTCAGAATCAACCAGCCATGTCAATTCCTCCTTCAATAACACAGTTTTTGCAACCTTCTCCAGTAACACAATCAGTTATCTTTCAAAAATCAGGATTTAATAATGCTTCTGAGTTGCCTCAAGGTCACTTTATTAATTCTTTCTCTTGTAATAAAAACAGCTTATAAAATAAGCGCTTAATTAAATTGTTTGTACTACAATATCTTATGCAGGTTCTTCACTTGCTGGAGTTATTGATGGAAAGTTCGAAAGTGGATATCTAGTTTCGGTTTCGATGGGTTCCGAAACACTCAAAGGCGTGCTTTACGAGTCTCCGAGAGGCATTCTGATTAATAATAACTGTGTTGCATCTACTGCATTGGGTGTTCAACGCCGCCGGAGGAGGAGGAAGAAATCAGAGATCAAAAGAAGAGATCCGGCTCATCCAAAACCTAACCGAAGCGGCTACAATTTCTTCTTCGCGGAGCAACATGCGAGAATGAAGCTACTAAACCAAACTATGGACAAGGATATTAGTAGAATGATTGGTGAACTATGGAACAATTTAAAGGACTCCGAAAAAATAGTAAGCTAATCGTTAAAATCTTACTAACCACACTTCATATTAAAGACGTGTCTGATAGCAAAAATTAAAAAAAAAAAGAAAAAAAACTAACCCTAAATTTGAACCTAACTACACTAGAAAGAATTAAATTGTATCAGAAACTGTGTTAGTATCGTGTCAGATATCTGAGTTTGTATACACGTTATTAATATGGTAAAGTTTCATTGGCATTAAGGTTTATCAAGAGAAGGCTATTAAGGATAAAGAGAGATACAAAGCGGAAATGGAGGATTATCGCGATAAACTAAAGACGAACATTGTGATGGATGATGCAGCACCCTTGCAACAACAATTTCTGGAAGCAAATTCATCATTGGTGGATGTTGACGTAAAAATGCATGATTCATTTCAGACTCCTGAAGAGAGTAGTTCAGGTGGAAGTGATTATGTTGGAGACGGTTCTTCTGGTGGAGCAAGAGTTGATTCGGAAGCATTTTTGGATTCAGAAAAGGTTTGTAAGGATGGAGTTATGGAAGTTGTTAGTCATTGTGAGGGAGAAGTGGATGCTGGAAGAGTTCGAGTTCAGGAGAATCAAAAGATGAATGAGAATCAAAACATGTTAGCCTTACTTTAGTGTAGTTAATGTTTTCTTTTTTACATGTTTAAGTTTGATGTAGGATGTTTATTATTTCAATGCTTTTAGATGGTTCAAAGTGCAATTTGTACTACTTTTCAAGATTAAACCTTGTTGAAATGTTAGCGTAGACATTGTGATAATTTGTCTTTTCCAAATGTCTTGCAATGAATGGTGTTAAATTAATGAAAGGTGTTAAATTAGATGAGTATAGGATATTGGTTTAGAGTTTAATTCCTTGTAGCATCATTTCTTTATTAAGAATTAATATAAAAATAAACTAAGTATAATATATATTTTCGAAAAAACGAATAAAATACGTGTTTTATGATGATTTTGGAGGTGTATTTTTGGAAAAATCTAAAATTGAATAAAAAAAATGCTGAAGATATATCTTTAAAATCTGGAAACATTTAAAGAAACACGCATGATGGCTAAGAGAAGACCAGTTGGTTGTACTATGAGGTGATTTGGATATGTATAAGAGAAGACCAGTTGTAAAGAGAATATATCAAACAAGTAGAAGAAGACGTAGAAAAATTAAGAGAATAATTATTAAAAAAGATCTCTAAATTAATAAATTGGATAGAAATGTAGTCTTTGATAGAATATTATGGAGGATTTTGATTAATATAGCTGAGTTTATTTAGTAGAATAAAACTTGATTGTTTTTTATATATTATATTATTTATATTTTAAATTTAACTTTTTTTTTAAAGAGGAAAAAAAGTATACATTCTAAAGTAAAATATGATACTACCATGATTGCATTATTATATCATGTAATATGAATAGACCGATCTCAAAAGAGGTTTATTTACATTGAATATCTATTTAAGTGATGTGTTGATTAATTTAATGATTAAAAATGTCGGTTGTTTTGGTTTATAAAGAGAAGAAAAATAAGAATAATAGTTTTTCATAATAATAGATTAAATATTATTCTCTGCAATTTAATTTATAAGAGACAATTTACTTTTTAGACATATTAAATAATTAATATATTTGATCTATATATAATTCAGATATATTGATTATTGAATATATCTAAAAAGTAACTTGTCTCTTATAAATAAGATCAAAAGCAATACTTTTATTATAATCTAAGTCTCTTTTTGTTCTCAAAAAGCGTATACTTTCAATTGTATATCTTCCACTTTCATGGCGAGTATGTAGAAAAGTCGTTAAGTATCAATATCCTCTTTTAAAAAAGTGGCAGTGCGAAGGACTCTTATAAAAAGAAAGTCTCAAGATGGTTTTTACTATTTTCATGTCTTATTCAACTTGTTTGGCCACAAGTTCAAATTATTTGATTCGACCTTTTGGTTCTTCATCTTATTATCCAAAATTATGTAGCTACAGATTTGAGAAGGCCTATGTAGGGATTATAGAGAAATTTGGATCAAATTATAACATTCGAAGAGCCCTAAATGCTTAGGGGTATTTCCATATCAAGGCAGCTCTAATTGGGGGAAATTTTATGCCTTCTGCAAGAAATAGAAGAAGGTGGGGTGAAAGCATTGATTCGAGAAGACAAGAAGTGGATTTCCCAATGGTTTGCGGAGATTCATCCATGGTCGTTGGAAGACATAGATAATGAGAGGCTAACATGGATGAGATGCTTTGGTATTCCACCATATGCTTGGAAGACATAGATAATGGGAGGCTAACATGGATGAGATGCTTTGGTATTCCACCATATGCTTGGAAGACGGAATTCATCAAATTTATATTGAGCACAATCGGTGAATTTATTTGTTGCGATAAGGAGACTAAAAAAGTAAAAAAGTTTGATGTATGGTAAAAATGAAGTATTCTTTGAATTTGAATGAAATCTTTAATGTGGAAATAAACAACAAAGTTTATAGGATAAAGCTAGCTAAAGAGATTCATGGTCCAAAAAGGTTGGTTGTTCCAGTAAAGGTTTGCAGCTTAGAAACGATTCTGAAGATTCCGAGATGGAGGAAGGGGATAGCACGTGGGATAACTCGTGGAGTGACCAGGAGGAAGAAGAGAAGGTGGACACGAATTTCAACTCAGGTGATCAGAGAAGTAAAAGTGATGGTGATGGAGGAGATAGTAGGAAAACAAGAAAAGGAGAAGGTGAAGAAAAAATCAACTTGTTAGTGCGTGTATTTTTGGGTATTAATGCTACGTAGAAGAAAACTAATTTCTATTTTGTTAACGTATACTAGCCCTATGTGATAACTGAAAAATGCAAACTTTGGGCTAATCTAAACGAGTGGAAGAAAAAGGTTCCTAAAGGGGAATGGATTGTGAAGGTGACTATAATGCAGTAAAATCATCAAAGGAAATGAGTGGAGTTGGAAGGGATGACTGGAATGCATTTGAGGAGTTCTCTTCATTCATTGACTCAATGGAATTAATAGACTTACTAGTAGTTAGGAATAGATTACATGGTTCAAAGATAATGGAAGATGCAGAAGTAGGCTTGATTGGTTATTGTTGTCAGAAAGATTAATCAATAAATGGAACATCTTGGCTCAATTGGTTGGAAGTAGAGACATCTCAGATCATCGGCCTGTTTGGATTAAATTCAACGAGAGGGATTGGGGCCAAAAACCATTTAAGTTGGTTAATTGTTGGTATGATCATCCTAAATTTTTTGAGTTTGTGAAAACTGAATGGGATGTTGTTGAGGTTAGTGGTAGTGCGTCTCACATTCTTAAAGAAAAACTAAAAAAGTTAAGATCTAGACTTAGATGGTGGAATAAGGAAATATTTGGGTGGGTTGATTTAAATATAGATCAGAGAGTGGATGCTTTAAATGATTTGGAGGAGGAATTGGAATTTTTAAGGGAAGAAGCAGTGCATGAGGTGTTGTTGGAAAGGTGTAAAATCCATGAGGACATGTGGAATAGCTTGATATTGAAAGAAAGTCTTATTAAACAAAAGTCCCAAGTCAGGTGGGTGAAGGAAGGTGATATAACACTAGGTTCTTTCATACAATGATGAAATCTAGAGTTAGGAGAGATGCAATTGAAATGGTGAATCAGGGGTCTGTGATTGTGCAAGGCGTGGTGTTAGTTAAAGAAATAATTCATGAATTTTTTGCAGATAGATATAAAAAGTTGGAGGTGGTTAGGCCATTCTTGAAGGCTGACAACATTCCTAAGTTAACTAAGGAAGAGAGTGGAGGGCTGGAAAAACCTTTTACGGAGAAAGAAATTTGTGAGGCTTTGGTGGATTATGATGGGACCAAAAGTACGGGACCAGATGGATTCAATTTAGGCTTCCTGAAGAAATGTTGGGATATCGTTGGTGTGGATGTGGTGAATTGTATTAAAGAGTTTCATTTGTCGTCATTCCTTCCTAAAGCAATGACTTCATCCTTTATTACTTTAGTTCCTAAGGTTGATAATCCTCAACGGTTAGGAAAGTACCGTCCCATTTTCCTGGTTGGATGTATATATAAGCTCATATCAAAATTGTTGGTAGCACGACTGAGGAAAGTAATAGGTAAGCTTGTCTCAAATTCTCAGTCAGCGTTTATCTCGGGGAGAAACATCCATCATGGAATTGTTGTGGCAAATGAGATAATTTATTTGGTTAATAGAAAGAAAACCAACTGCCTCTTATTCAAAATCGACTTTGAACAGATGTATGATTATGTGGATTGAGAGTATCTGGTAAGGATTTTGGAAGATATGGGGTTTGGGAAGAAATGGGTGGATTGGATGAAGGGGGTTGTGTTTTCTAGTCATCTTTCTATCTTGGTTAATGGTGGTACTACAAGAGACTTTAAGGCATCTAAAAGACTACGACAAGGCAACCCATTATCTCCTTTCCTATTTGCTTTGGTTGTTGAAGGGTTGACTTTAATGGTAAGAAGAACTAGTAATTTGGGCATTCTTAGAGGGTTGAACCTAGGCATCATCGGTTGTTATAATCTCCTTCAGTTTGCAGACAATACATTCATAATTTGTTATGCAACTTGGGAAAACTTATAGGGGATTAAAATCTATCTTAAGAGGGTTTGAAATGGTGTCAAGGCTGAAGATAAATGCTTGGAAGAGTAACTTAGTGGGATTTGGTGGCAGTGAAGATTTTATGGAGGCTTCGCCTCAATTTTTTACTTGCAAAATTGAGATTCTTCCGTTCAAATTTTTAGGCTTGACGGTGGGTGGGAATCATAGATGTAACGTGTTTCGAAGACCTGTCAATAATTGCTTAAAGTCTAAGCTTGCAACTTGGAAAGACAAGATGTTATCTATGGGGGGAATGGTGACCTTAATTAACACTGTGTTGACAAACCTTCCCATTCATTATCTTGCCTTCTTCAAAGCTCCAATTATGGTGTTGAAGGAAATAATTTTGATCCAACATAAGTTCTTGTGGCAGGTTCGGTGGAGAAAAATTGTGTGTCTTGGGTAAATTGGAATACCATGTGCAAGCCAAAAGAGAAAAAGGGTCTTGGCATAAGAGATGTCCGTCTATTTAATCAAGCACTATTGGCAAAGTGGTTGTGGAGGATTGTGTCGGAGAAGGAGGCAATCTGGAGTAGTATTTTGCAACACAAATATGGGAACACCTAGAGAAGAATTTTAATAAAGGAAGCGCAACATGGTTTTGTCATTGAATCTTTGTGGTGGTGATATTTGATGATAATCGGGGATGAAGACAAGAAAGGCTTTTTTTTTCTTTTCTGATTCTCTTTGTTTTAGATTAGGCAATGATGATTGTATTCCATTCTGGTATGGCAGGTGGCTTGGTCAAGCACCGCTCATGTGCGTCTTCTCGAGGCTGTATGATGCCACTATATTGAAATCACGTGCTGTTAGTGAAGCCGGATCCTGGGCTGGTGGTGTTTAGGCATAAAATTTGAGGCTGTTGGGTTTAAATGGCAACAACAACAACATTGCAAGTTCGGAGGATATTATTTATTTCATAAATCTCTCTAATAAGATATTATTTGTTACAATTTAAATTCTAATTTAAATATGAATTAATCTTCGTCCAAATGTCAAACAAATCACCTA